TTCAAGGGATTCTCCTGTCTCAGCCTCTGGAGCAGCTGAGATTATAGGCGCCCGCCATCATGCCCAGCTAATTTTTTTTTTTTTTTTTTAAAGATGGGGTTTCACCATGATTGCCAGGCTGGTCTTGAACTCCGGACCTCAGGTGATCCACGCATCTCGGCCTCCCAAAGTGCTAGGATTACAGGCGTGAACCACCGCGCCCGGCCCTAATTTTTTTCTTTTTCTTTTTGAGACAGAGTCTTGCTCCGTCACCCAGGCTGGAGTGCAGTAGTACAATTTCAGCTCACTGCAACCTCCGCCTCCCGGGTTCAAGTGAGTCTTCTGCCTTAGCCTCCTAAGTAGCTGGGACTACAGGTGTGTACCACCACGCCTGGCTAATTTTGTTTTTAGTAGAGATGGGGTTTCACCGTGTTAGCCAGGATGGTCTTGATCTCCTGACCTCGAGATTCACCGTCCTCGACCTCCCAAAGTGCTGGGATTACGGGCGTGAGCCACCGCGTCTGGCCATCTTGGCAGGCTTATCTTGAACTACTGACCACAGGTGATCCACCTGCCTCAGCCTCCCAAAGTGCTGGGATTACAGGTGTGAGCCACCATGTCTGGCCCTCTTACAGTATTTTTAAAACAATTTGTGATCTTCATTTCCCGGCGGACTGAGCGCTGAAGGCTGCGGTGCGGCGCGGAGGAAATTCCACTCTCTGAGGCGCTGGGTCGGTGGCAGAGTATTTTTAAAACAAATTGTGAGCTTGTACAGCATGGTGAAACCTGTATCTACAAAAAATACAACAAAGAAACAACTAGCCAGGCATGGTGGCATGCTCCTGTTAGTCCTAGGTACTCGGGAGGTTGAGATGGGAATATCACTTGAACCGGGGAGGTAGAGATTGAAGTGAGGAGATATCATGCCACTGTACTCCAATGTGGGCGACAGAACAAGACTCTTGTCTAAAAAATAAATAAATAAATAAATGAAACAAATTGTAGTAAATATATGTTTTTATGTGTGTTTATGTATATTTTCACAAAATTTGTCCTTTAAACCATTTTTAAGTGTACAATTTAGTGGTATTAATTACATTCACAATGTAATACAAGCAACACCACTATTTTTGAAACTTTATTATCTCAAACAGAATCTACAACCAGACAGGGTGGTGGCTCATGCCTGTAATCCCAGCACTTTGGGAGGCCAAGGCGGACAGATCACTTGAGGTCAGCACCTGTAATCCCAGCTACTCGGGAGGTGGAGGTTGCAGTGAGCTGAGATCATGCCACTGCACTCCAGCCTGGGCTACAGAGCCAGACTCCGTCTGAAAAAAAAGGAGGCCAGGCATGGTGGCTCATGCCTGTAATTTCAGGACTTTGGGAGTCTGAAGAGGGTGGATCACAAGGTCAGGAGATACAACACGGTGAAATCCCATCTCTACTAAAAATACAAAAAATTAGCCTGGCATGGTGGTGTTCGCCTGTAGTCCCAGCTACTTGGGAGGCTGAGGCAGGAGAATTTCTTGAACCTGGGAGGCTGTTGCAGTGAAAAAAAAAAACTGTAACCATTAAACAAATAACTTCCCATTTCCTCCTCCTTCTAGCCCCTGGTAATCTCTGATCTACTTTGTGTCTGTATGAATGTGCCTGTTCTAGGTACTGCAAATACTAAATGGAATCATACAATATTTGTCCTTTTTGTGTCTGGTTTATTTCACTTAGTTTAATGGTTTCAAGGTTAATCCATGTTGTAGTGTGTGTCAGAACTTCATACCTTTTTATGGCTTAATCCATTGTGTGTGTACTCCACATTTTGTTTTATTAATTAATTTATAGTAGACACTTTGGTTGTTTCCACCTTTTGACTATTGTAAATAATGCTTCTGTGAACATTGGTGTACAAATATCTCTTTGAGTTCCTGCTTTGAATTCTTTTGAGTATATACCCAGAAGTGAAATTGCTATATAGTAATTATTATTATTCATTTTCTTTTAGAGACAGAGTCTTGTTCTGTTGCCCAGGCTGGAGTTGAGTGGCACAGTCATGGCTCACTGCAGCCTCGAACCTGTAGGCTCAAGCAGTCGTCCTGCTTCAGCCTCCTTAGTAGCTGGGACTACAGGTGTGGGCTGCCACAACCAGCTAATTTTTTTGTTTGTTTGTTTAATTTTTATTTTTTATTGTGATGAACTCTTTCCTCGTTGTCTAGGCTGGTCTCGAACTCCTGGGTTAAAGTGATTCTCTTGCCTTGGCCTCTCAGAGGGCTGAGATTACAGGCATGAGCCACCACATCTGGCCCATAATTTTTTTATTTTTGTTTTTTTTTATAGAGACAGGGTCTCCCTATGCTGTCTGTGCTGGTCTCGATCTCCTGGCCTCAAGCCATCTTCCCTCCTTGGCCTCTGAAGGTACTGGGATTATAGGCATGAGCCACTGCACCTAGCTGATGGTTGGTTATTAAATGTTTAGCTCTTTGAGGAACCATCATACTGTTTTCCTTAGTGGCTGCATCATTTTACATTCCCACCAGTAGAACACAGGGGTTCCAATTTTCCCACATCCTCCCCAACACTTATTTTCTGTTTTTCCTTTTTTGGTAAATTTGTATGTGTATATGTGGTTTTTTATTTGTTTGTTTTGATAATGGCCATCCTAATGGGTGTGAAGTGGTATTTCATTGAGTTTTCTTGGTTTTTGCTCATTTGTATCTTTTTTAACCATTTTTTCTTTTTTTTCTTTTGAGATAGAGTCTCTATTGCCCAGATTAGAGTATAGTAGTGCGATCTTGGCTCACTGCAACCTCTGCCTCCCAGGTTCAAGCACTTCTCTGCCTCAGCCTTTTGAGTAGCTGAGATTACAGGCTACTACTCTTTGTATTTTTAGTAGAGACAGGGTTTCACCATCTTGACCAGGCTGGTCTTGGAGTTGTATTTTTAGTAGAGACAGGGTTTCACCATCTTGACCAGGCTGGTCTTGGAGTCCTGACCTCGTTGTCCACCCACCTCGGCTTCCCAAAGTGCTGGGATTGCAGGCCTGAGCCACTGCACCTGGCCCTTTTAAACCATTTTTAAGTGGACCATTCATTGATATTAAGTACATTCTTATTGTTGTGCAACCATCATAAAAATCCAGCTTCAGAACTTTTTTCTTTTTTCTTATTTAAAGAGACGAAGTTTCAGCGTGTTGGTCAGGCTGGTCTCGAACTCCTGACCTAGTGATCCACCTGTCTCAGCCTCCCAAAGTG